CTGAACAGCGGAGAGTCGCGGACGGACTGCGGCTCTTCCCGCCATTCAGCTCATACGTCCAGCAAAGCTTTAGAACTCAATAGGAAAAAACACACATGCTAGCGGCGCTGCTCCATGGCCGTTTCAGAGGTTTCATAGATGATTTAAGTCAGAGTTTAAATGTGCTTTTGTGCCGTTTTGTGTTAGATTGTGTGCTGTTTTACTACCACTAGTAGTAGTTGAAATTGACTCCCGTGCATTTCCCATATGATTAAATGTGAAGTTAAAAAAGTCACCTGTTCAGAAGTGATGTCGTAATGTGAACAGCGTGCAGGGTTGGGCAAAATACTTGATGACTGAAAATATAGTCTGAATACATTTAGAATACATTTAGAATACATGTTGACAAGGCACATAGGAAAAACTCTGCTGATGTCATTTTTATTTAATTCACACTGTTCCTGGTTGACAGTTTTTTGGTTGTGGAAATTTTGGCTGTCATCTCCTTCAGTCCTCTGTAGCTCCTATAATCCCACTGCCGTTTCATGTCGAAAACTTGACCATATCGTAATAATATCTTGCAAATTTTACTTTTTTAAATTTTCAGTTAGTGACGTGTTTAACTTCCCATGGAACACATGCTCAAGTCCAGTACAAGACCGATGCTAATCTTATCACTTATGAAACATCACCCCTGAAGAGACTGATGAGTTTAGCCACTCTGAGATTAATAACTAGCTCATCATATTGGTTTGTCAGTCTATTCAGAATTTAGCAGGAACTTCAGTGTTTGTAAAGAAGCTGTTTTTTGACTTTTTCTTTAGGGTACCTCTTAACACTCTGTGTGCTGATTTTAGAATAGTTAATGAACAAGCACCGATGGTGTTTCTTTGAAAGATAGAGTTTTGAAATTAAGAGGATTTTAATAGTATTCTCCTAAAAATATAAAAAGTAACTGCATTCTGAAAGCCTTTACAAAATGTAACTCGGACTGAATACAGATACTTAGAAAATTAGCCAGTTCTGTATACATTGCTCCATAAGAAGCTACTGCTTCTGAAACCACAGCGAAATCCTTTGAATACGCATTCTTCTCAGCTCTAGTGCTCTCACAGGAGCTCGGGCACCACTGGAGGAAGCCATTAAAGACCATGTTTCGTACAGAAAAAAGCAGACTTTGCTTTACATATGGGCACTGCCTGTATCTGAACCAAGTGCATTCATAAACAAATGCTCCTCGCCTCAGGTTGGGCTTCAATTAGCATCTTACAAAAGACCTTAAGCAGGTGCTGGTTTTGACACATTGAATCCCATTTGAAAGAGATCCCAGTAATGAAGAGGTTTAAGGTAAATAAGGGGGGGCATATTTGCGTTGTGACAGGTGGATTTGTATAGCCACTATTATGGAGACACCCTTCAGTTGTCACTGCATACGGCCCATTTGATTGAAGGGGAATTTGCATGTGTAAGACGGCCTGGTATTTGAAGAGCAGGTTGGGATTACATGTGGATCTGTGGCCGAGCCAGTACCTGGCGGTCACTAAACATCTAGTAGAAGTGACCGTAACAGCTCTGTCTCATAGTCCAGTCATAGAGGACCAGTCTTTCAAGCAGTGCTCCACTTTATTTCTTACATTCTTGATCACATCTATGCTCATCTCTGCTTACGTCTGGTTCCATGCTTATTTTGAAGAGCCATGTCCTTTTGTTGGAGTCGCTCGGTAGCAGCATGGTCTGTGAATTCAGGAAAGGGAAGCATATGGTTCGTGTCATCTGTTGGACGTTTTGACTGAGTAGTTCATCTGCCATGTCTGAATTGGACCGCTGTGGTTTAGGTTTGCATGCTAGAGGCAGTGTTTATCAACTAAAAGCAAAGTTTTTATATTGAGCCTGTGGTGGAGCCGCGATGGGCAACATCTAGAGACATTTCACACCTGCAATGAATATGAGATTTAAATAGTTCAGTGGCAACAAATGATGTCTGGCCAAATTTGATCATCTTGCTCGTTCGGTAGACAACAGTTCTTGCTGTATGATGCCTCAGAAATAGATTCTTGTTGATTTTTTTTAAAGGGCAAAAGCTCCACGTCAGTACAAAGCAGTATTAAATGCTACATGTAGCCTATATATGCATCATGTCAACAAGTAAGTAATATTAAATGAGTCTTTTATCTCTAATAGCCCTTCGTTTTACTTATTAAGATGTTGGCAACCGTATGAGAAGCATTGTAAAGCTTATAGATTAGATTTTTGTTTGAGTGGAGCTTCTTAGGGTCGCATTATTGTTTCAGATGTATTGAAAACGTATGTATTGATTATTCTTTCTATTTCTTTTCTCTCCCCTCTGCTCCCTTCCACAGCTAAGCAGCTTTCTGATAGATCAGATAACCCAGACATGGAGAAAGAACTCGGCCCTTTTTGCCAAGCGTAAACAAAAGCACAAATCAATACAAATTCTGTTACGGCTGACTTACATGGCATTCCTGAAAACAGCGCTAATGTTATTGAATGAGGTGAAAGCAGCACGACTTGCTCAGCCTTAACGTGACTGCTAGGCCTATAGGTGACTGAGGAGGTAGGCTCTGCACCCCTCTAATAAAGCTTGTGGTGTTGGACACTGCAATGGACGAGCACGGCATATGTTTGTTTGTGAATCGCAGAGGAGCGCGCCGGCATTCTAGGGGGGAACAGAGGGGGCGCGCTGCTCTCCCACGGCTTTGTTTCGGGGCGCTAAATCCGGGAGCAGCTGCCGGCTGTGGGGTCTGCTGGGACTTTTTGGGAGCTCTGTGCCTTCTCCCATCACCCTGTGCCAAGGTGGCATTACGCAAGTTGGGAGAGAGAGAGAGAGAGAGAGAGAGAGAGAGAGAGAGAGACTGGATCTCAAATGGTTTCCTACGTTCTATGTAGTGCGCTACATAGGACACAAAACTACGGCTCCTTCACCCAAATAGTGCGCTATATGTCCAGTAGGGAGCCATTTGGGACTCAGCCAGAGTGAGGGAGAGAGAAAGAGAGGGAAAGGAAGGGGGCGGTGGACGCTACTTTGGCAACTGGTGAGCAAGGCGCAACAACTGCGATAGGGTTTGGTGTTTGAGGAGGGCAGCATGTCCGCTGAACTTTGCCTCAGTGGCAGATAGGAACTTGTCAGATTGGCAAATTGTGCGCCGTCGGACTGGACTGCGTACTGTCGCTCGCCCTCCCTCCCTTTCTCCCTCCCTCTCTTCTTCCCTCCCTCAATCTCTCTCTCAGCCACCCCTTCCCCCCACCCCCTTCTCTTTTTCCCTCCCTTTCAGCTCTTGAAGCTAACGCATTGGCTGGGCTACAGACATCTTGTTGCCAAATAGGTGGGCCCTACTCGTGTTGGCAAAGACTCAGGCAATGGTTAGGGAAAGAACGCAGAGAGGACGAGCGAGAGAGAGAGAGAGAGCAAGGGAGCGATCGAGCAAGCCAGAGAGAGAGAGAGAGAGAGAGAGAGAGGAAAAAAAGAAGCAGCACTTGGGTTTGCCAGCGGTCGTACGAGCTCGTCCAACATTGATTCGCCTCTCTCTATTTTTTTTCCTCCCCATATTCTGTGCTTCGCTCTCGCCAGCTCCCCCCTTCTTTGCAGGAGTGTGTATGTATGTGCGAGGGAGAGAGTGCGTGTGTGCGCGTATACGTGTGTGTGGCTCTCTCTTTCTGAGTCTTCTGCTGGACTCAAAGATCTAAGCAAACACCACTACCAATTACGCTTTGCCAAGGATTTTTTTCTCTGGCTTCATTTTCTTTTTTCCTCTTTTTTTTGTAATTTTTGGAAAGCGCGAAAGCAGTGTTTATTTTGCAGTGTGACTTTTCCAGTTGTTACGCTGTTTTTTTTAGTTTTGCTTGTATCATACCACCTGCAGTTTTTATCTGTGTATATATATTTTTTTTTTTTCAAATTTCATGTCATCTTTTCTGACTTTTTTTTCAGCAGCAATGACTTAGATTACTTTTTTTACTTTTTTGACTGGATATTTTGAAAAGGAAAAAAAACAAATTGTTCGCAATTTTTTAAACCTTAAAAATATTTTTTTCTTCTGTCCTTGGAGCTTCTTCTGTCTACTTTTTTTCTTTTTTTAAATTAAGCTCTTTCACTTTGCGCCAAATTTTTTTGGTCTTGCCAAACCAGCAGTTGCTTCTGCAGTGAGCGGCAAAAGGACTGGTGCGGGCGGAATTTTTTTTCCCTCCCTCCCCGTTCTGAACAGCGTGCCAAATTTATGATGAGAGTGCAACATGGTAACTATCAGGCTCTTTCTCCTTCTACCTCTTTTTGCTGCAGTGTGAGTTCGATGGTGCTTGCCTGCCTTGTCTTGGTCATAGCGAGCTGAACATGCCTGGATTTCTGTTGCCTGCTGGTCATCCGGAGAGCGCTCGCGATGGCAGGTGTTGAAGCGGCGCGGTTCGACCGCGGTCTGGTGGTGGCTAGGCTTGGCGGCGAGGGGCTGGGGCACGGCAGCCCTGGCACAGGGGCGCCGTGGCGCGGTTTAGGCTTTGTCACTGAGCGCTGTGTGCTGAAGGTATTATTGGAGAGCTGAATGGGGCTTCTGTTGCTGCTGGGGATCGCCAAGCTTGTCTTGGCCTGACCTGACTAGAGAGGAACCGCTCGCATTTTAATCGCTGAATTATGGAATTCCGTTACACGCTATTCACTCCTAAACTGGTTAAACTTTTTTTAAGAATGGCTCTGACTGTATTACGTTTTTGGAACAGTTTTTTATTATCTGAGTGATAAGGTTGCTGCATGTGTTTTTGTTTGGAGTTAAAATGTTTTTGAATTTTTTATTATTAACATATTCACATAATCTGATTAATGCATTTGTTTGTTTCCAGGCTCTCCTATTGATAGTGTAGTTGTGTTGCAGTTATATTGTGTTTGCTTTTCCACTTTCAGAATAGACCCTTTCACAGTAATGCTGTTTATACTCTGTCATTCTCTGTTGTATTGTTTTTAGTTGGGAAAACTCACTGCGCTCCCTCCCTCGTTTCTTCCTTCCGTTTTCCAGGATGAGTTTCATCCCTTCATTGAGGCGCTGCTGCCGCACGTGCGCGCCTTCTCCTACACCTGGTTCAACCTGCAGGCCCGCAAGCGCAAGTACTTCAAGAAGCACGAGAAGCGCATGTCCAAGGATGAGGAGCGCGCCGTCAAAGACGAGCTGCTGGGCGAGAAGCCCGAGATCAAGCAGAAGTGGGCGTCGCGCCTGCTGGCCAAGCTGCGCAAGGACATCCGGCCCGAGTTCCGCGAGGACTTTGTGCTCACCATCACGGGCAAGAAGCCACCGTGCTGCGTGCTGTCCAACCCGGACCAGAAGGGCAAGATCCGGCGCATCGACTGCCTGCGGCAGGCCGACAAAGTGTGGCGGCTGGACCTGGTGATGGTCATCCTGTTCAAGGGCAGCCCGCTGGAGAGCACGGACGGTGAGCGGCTTGTCAAGTCACCGCAGTGCACCAACCACGGTCTCTGTGTGCAGCCTCACCACATCGGCGTGTCCGTCAAGGAGCTGGACCTGTACCTGGCCTACTTCGTCCATTTGCCAGGTCAGCGGTGTTCACACGCACATGTACACAGATATACTCACGCTCAGGTACTTTAATGGCAAATTATATGCATATAGACGCACAGGTGCTTTTAGAGGCAAAAGAATGTTCATGGTGGGCAGTATGACAATGTTTTTTGTTATTCTGATAGATTTCGTCACGTTATTCTTGTCTTAACATATCATCTTACTTATAGAACACTGAGCAACAGCATGTATCATTACAAAGATTATAATTAGCATTGTTTAATTGGATTAACTATATGAAATGTTGAATGAAGATGCAACGTTGCCAACGATGCTGCTTTCAACTTACTAAGCCTCAGAAAAATTAAATATCGTGATGCATACCCTGTACCATGAAAATAGCTTTATTGTATCGCAGTGATATATTTTTGCCCTATTGCCCACCCCTAACACGCTCACAGGAAGTATTAATGGCAAATAAATATACAGGATAGATTTACTTGATAAATACAAAATATTTGCATAAATAAACTTGATGGGAAGCTGCATTTCAAAGAAGTGGGGATTTCTTTAAAATAGAAGTGATTATATGAGTATTTTTGTGAGTAATTTATTTATTACACATACACATGCATATGCGTGTGTGTGTGTGTGTGTGTGTGTATATATATATATACATGTGTATATATATATATATATATATATATATATATATATATATATATAAATATATGTATTTGTCTTTTCAGTTTGTTAGCGTGTAGGCCTGTAGGATTTGAAATCTGTAAAAAAAATACTTGTTTTGAATTTGTATCATTTTCAATTAATTTTGTGATTAGTTTGGATACGTTTTTTGAGTGCGCACATATTGTTGCATGAAATGGTGCTGCATAACTGTGTATCCTCTGTGCAGGTTGTTTTTTTGTGTGTTAATTTGAGCGTGTACTGTGGTAGTGGTGGTACAGTGACAGCTGGCCTTCTCCCAGCCTGTTTGAGGAGAACGGGCTGTCTGCACCCAAGCCCAGCCACACACACACACACACGCACACACACAAACACTAAGCTTTACCACCCCATCAACACACACACACTGCAACCCTTTAGTGTGGCTTGTGATTATATACACACACATCAACAGGCTGTTTAGTTTGCTCCATGTTCAGTAACTCTGACAGAAATGACTAATTACCTTTGAAATTCAAATGATATTTAAGCTGTATAATTGTAGATGGTAGTATAATTAGCTAAGTTGTTTGAATTGAACATCTAGATTTTTATTTCATATATATATATATATATATATAGAGAGAGAGAGAGAGAGAGAGAGAGAGAGAGGGGGGTATATTTTTTCTTTTTTATAATGATAAAAATAGACAGAAAAGGAGAGGATTGTTAGAATAAATTTCAGGCTTTAGCTGAAATGAACAACTGTGTAGTATAAAATTTTTCACACTCGTAATTAATGTGCATTAGTAAATTATACTATTCATTTATTTATTTATTTAGTCAGTGTGTGTCCCTTATTTTCCAAACCTCTGCAGTATTTCAGATTATTCTATCTGTGTCTCAGAATTGCTGAGCTTAAAATCATATGGGGAATTTTGTGTAGCTTCTGCGTAGCACCTATACATACTTCACCTCCGCCTTCACCCGTCATTGCGCAGCTAAATTTTCCAATTGTTTCCTGCATTGTGTGGATATTTGGCCGTAATGCGTCTCTTTGGCACAGGGCAGAAAAGAGATTTCACGCCCCATGCGGAGCTCCTTTCAGCGGCGGGTGTCCGTTAGCCGCTCCGTTGTGCCGCGCTTTTCCTGTCTCACAATATGCCACCTCTCGGCTTATCTCCTGCTGCCCCGGGCCTTTAATCGGAGGCCTTTTAACCTGTCCGACCAATCACCGCTCCAGCAGCTCACGGAGGGCGATGACTCTATTTGCAGCAGAAGAGACATATCATACTAAAAGACAGGCTTTTGTGTTTCTCGTCTATTCAGTTAACCCTTTACATTAGGCCTATTGTACACATATTCATTTGAAAGTGTACCACTATGAATGTAATATGTAACATATGTAGTTATCTGGAGAAGCTGACAGGTCCTTAGAGTTTGAAGGGTTAATTTCTTGTAGTTTTATTGCATTGCAGTCTGATTGTAGCATTGTGTGCTTATTAAGTTTCTGAAGGGCATCATTTCAAATGATATTTTTTTGGGAACACTACCAAAGGGCAGCATTTATAAGGCTACATGACAACTGAGATAAGCATTTCTAAAGGCTAATTCCAACAAGCATCAGTTATCTTTGGCTGCTTTTTCAATGTTTGATTAATTATTTTGCTTTCTGGAATATTTTTGAAAGGTCTGTGTATGTTTAAGTCAGTATTCATAAAAGGATTATGTAGGTGTCAGGTAGTTTAAGGAGTACCACCCTTCAGTAAAGTGTGACTTATTTTTCTTTTTAAATTGTTAAAGCATAAAAAAGTTGTATCTGATTTTTGTTTAATTGGTATGAAATGACGTCAAGTTTTGCTTCTTGCTGTTAAAGTGAAGTATTGAGTGACAAATTGTCCCTCTTATCTATTGATTAATGTACAGGGTGGTGGGCAAAGACCTCAGGCCGCACAGATCAGGCAGTGTCCCTGATTCAGCATAGCCCGGCACATTATGGGAAGAGTTTTTGTGTTTGTTTGGTATGTGTGTCTCAGTGATGGATGGCGTGTCCAGCGTTAGTCATATTTGGACTGAGCTTTCTCGTGTGGCTCTTACTCTCACACAGTCATGCTGGAAACATGTGTCCACTCGCATCCCCAGTCGAGTCTCAGCCAGTTCAGGGAATGGACAGGGTGATGGTCAGTGATGCCAAATCCACAGTCTGTGGGCTAGACATGTGAAAAGCAAGAGAGAGAGAGTGAGGGAGTGGGGGAAGAGAGAGTCCAAAAGAGTTTGCTCAATAAGAGGAGTACCACTGATAGTGTTGTGTTTTTTTTTCTTCTCCAGAGAGAAAGAGACAGTGATGGCGGAAATGACACTTTTAGAGTCCTGTCATGCATGAAATTCATGCTTCACTGTGATTTGAATGATCTCAAAATAATTTCGCCATCTCTTCAGAGGTGTTAAAGATAACTGAGAGAGGTGTTGCCGGCCTATGGGGAGGCAAGTGGGAGAGCTTAAAAAAAAGTGTAAGCATCCTTGCGTGGTGTGAGTTTGTCTGTGTTCTGTAACGTTTGTATCTCCTGCATTCTTCCAGCTTGCATAGTTACAAGGCCGAAAAATCTGGGAGCTGCCGTTGCACGCTCTCCCAAGTGTACGAGCGTCGGACTTTGGGCCAAGTGCGTTTTTGTCCCTCAGACATGACATGAAACAAAGAGAGAGATAAGGTCGGTGAGGGCAGCCGTGGCTTTGAGCTAGAGGAAAATGCTTGCGTTCCTTCTTGGCTGGTAAACAAGGGCAAAGCGGCGCGTTTTGGAAAGCGGACGGCTCCCCCGCTGCTCAGGCGCTCGGGCCCAGGCCTGAGACCAGACCCACAGCGACTATGACATGCATTCATTATTAACCCCTAAGACTCTATTCATTTATTAAGCTTAGAACTTATTATTCAGTGACTACTATGCATTATTCAGTAACTACTATAAAACTAAAATGCAGCTTACGTATTAATGAGACCAGCCACCAGGTCCTTATAATTTAAGGGGTTAAATAAATAACAAAATAACATGCTGCCTGCCTAATGGTAACATTTTTTACAGGCTCTTTCATACAACCCCTGCTGATTTGATTAGACTCGCTTGAACAGAAATATAAACGACTCTGGGATGGTCACACGTTTGCGCCGTATTAAACAGGGAGTTTGCCATTCCGACCACAAATGGTCGAGCTTGGACCAGATTCAGAATACTGGTTTCCCAGCTCCTCTTTCTTTTGACACAGAGACACACATCCAGTGTGTCTCTGTGTCAAAAAGAAAGGGAATGAGAGACAGAGTGAAAAGAGAAAATGACATCCACACTGAGTTGCTGGTAAATAGATTATTCCATGTCAATTCCGATTCTAAAGGATCGATAAAAAAACAGGCAGAATGGCCCTCGTTTCTAGGATTTACATACAAAACTTACAGCCTGCTTCTGGTTAAAAGATGCTTAATACAGTCTTTGCAGCTTGCTTGTCAACATGAGAGGAAATCTTCATTTTTGTCATTTTTCTTTTTTTTTACGCAATTCAAAAACATTAAGAATGTAAAGTTGACATTTTGTGACTGTTCTGACAGTGATGCTATTAGATTATATATATTGATCATTTGTATTGACAGATTTGTACATACTTTTTTTATGTGATATTTTGTAACTTTTAGAGAACCAATTGAATTAATTAGAAATGGTTTGATTTTTTTTATTATGTACAAACCATTGAGAAAACTATATTATGTAGTATATATAAAACTACTACTACCTTCTACTTTTTTTGGGTATTTATTAAAATAAGGTAATATTTTCTGTTTTTTTGTTAGTATGTGGTCACAGGCGCGCAGGCAGAGGGGTCTGGATGCCGAGAGGGACAGAGATGAGATGAGGACAAGTGGAAAAGAGAGATGTGGAAGAAATGGGCAAAAAGAGGAGAGGTTCCTCTGACTCTCCACCAAATTCTGGTGCTATCTCTTTCTCTCTGGCTCTCTCACTCCCTCCATCCAGCAGCGAAGAACACTGCTCTTTAATTTGGACGGCTTTCCCAAAAACAGAACAGGCAAACGCAGCTGCAGACCTGAATCTGAGCTCGGGAAATGCCCTCATATGAACAACAGCAAGATTTAACCGTTTTTGACCTGATACCTTACAATCGCCTGGAAATAATTCTGTAGAATTGTTTTCCGAGATTCCGCAGCACTAATTATAACGGCAGGGCTAATAATGATTGTATTTGGGAAACAAGAGTACGAAGTAGCAGACTAAGCCTAGAATAAAGACAGTGTGAAATGCCAAGATGGAGACAAAAGGCGGTCTGCAGAGGGAACTCAAGCTGGTGTGGCTGCCTGGCAGCCCTGTATGGAGGATGCCAGCTTTTCAAACCGCCCCTGCTCCCTCTGCCAACGGCCCTCCTTCTCCTCCTTTCTTTTCCCTTGCTCTCGTTTTTTTTGAGCCCCGCTTCTCCTCCTGCCCGTCCTCCACTTTCTCGACGGACGTTCCTCTCCCCCTCTTCTCTTTCTCACAAAAAAGTCTCCTCGCTGTTTTTGACACCTCTTTCGAAAGCGCAGACGGGAGGAGAAAACAAGCCTCCGCACCAGTACACCATGATCATTTTTTTTATTTTTTTCGAAAATCCTGCTTCTTCATTTTCCATCTGACCAAGAAGTTACTCTTACGATTCAGAGCTGTTTTTTTTTCGTACAGACCTGTGGGCTTTTTTGAAATTCGTGTGTTGGCTGCAGCAGATGATCCCCCTGATGGTGTCCATGTTCCAAATCAAAATGGAGGCTTTGGCAACGCTGAGCCTCGTCTCATGTAGCTTGTAGTGAGGCGAGCGTGGGGAGCGAGCTGAGGCACAACTCGAGATTTATTATTTATTATCTGGCTATTTATGCTCTATAATATAATATGTGGTCAAGTAAGAGGATTTATTTTTAGATGAAATGCTTCTTTTCACAAACACGAAGCTCCTTTTCTCTCCAATCGAATAAAGCACACACTTTTCTGGTGCCAGCAGACTGAAAGTTTTATTTTAACATGGCCTTTTTCCATTTTGTAATGTGTAGTAGAAGAAAGTGAGGCAGTTTGACAAGTCTGACTGAAAACATACATACACACACAACATATACACACACTCACACATTCAAATTATACCCTATTAGTGTCAGCGAGTGTGTGCATGAATGTGTCCTGGACTAGCTGTCAGTTGGAGTGTGTCTGTTTACATTAGTGTATCGTTAATCTTGTGAGTCTGTGTGTGTCTGTGTGTGTGAGGGGCAGGCAGTGGAACTGATGTGGTGGACAGCCTAATAGCGGCGGTCCGAGTGAGGGGAATAATGATTGGAAAATGAGGAGCATTATTGCACTAGGGTAAACAGCACTCTGCTCGCGTGAAAAGAGCCCATTCAGTTCGGCTCAGGAGCACCCTGCCTTTCTTCTCTACAGGGGTCTTCCCGTAGATCCCAGAGGCAGCCTTTTGTTCTGCCACAGAGAGAGAGAGAGAGAGAGAGAGAGAGAGAGAGAGAGAGGTTGCCTGTGTGTCTACAGAGCCAGTATTTTACTGAGGTGAGAAGGCATGGTAGGGTTAATGTCTTACAAGAGCCATGTTTGATCTTTAAGAAGTTAAATCCTTGTAACAGTTTCACCAAACAGAGTACCAGCAGTCAATTCCTGCGGCACAGTGAAAAAGTGAAAGATATAATATAGAAATGAATAAAGTAGTTAATGTGGTGTAATGTAGGATAAAGGAGTTAATGCAGTATATTGAAGATATGAAAGAATTTTAGTTAATGTAGCGTATTGAAAAAAGTAGTATAAAATAGAAATGAATAAGTAGTTAAAGTAGTATAATGTAGGATTGAATAAAGTAGGTACAGTACTATATTGTAGGATTAAATAAAGTAGTAAATGTAGTATAAAGTAGGAATGAATAAAGTCGTTAATGTAGTATAAAGTAGAAATGAATAAAGGAGCTAATAAAGTATAATGTAGGATTGAATAAAGTAGTTAATGTAGTATGAAGTAGAAATAAGTAAAGCAGTAAATGCAGTATATTGTAGGTTTGAATAAAGTAGTTAAATAGGATTGAATAAAGTCATAAATGTTGGAATGAATAAAGTCATTGAAGTAGTATGAAGTATGAATGAATAAGGTAGTTAATGTAGTATAAAGTAGAAATGAGTAAAGTAGTTAATGTAGTATAAAGTAGGAATGAATAAGATACACTTCCTAAATGATTTTTAATGTTATTGTCATTCTAAAGTATTGATTTTTTTCTGGAGGCGAAAAATGTTGTTATTCTATACCAGTTGACTGCGGGTAGCCAGCCTTTATATACAGTAACAGTATTATAGCTGAAACTGTAATGTTTATGCATCGTTAACTAAAGTTGCCACAGAAGTTCCTGCTAGTAAAAACATGATCTACATGCGTCTGCTTTGAGTATGTAGATGTAACAGTTCCTCTGTGTGTGTGTGTGTGTGTATGTGTGTGTGTGTGTGTGTGTGCGCGTGTGTGTGTGTGTGTTTATGAGAGCACACTTGTCGTGGTAGCTTGGGGACTCAGGGTGTAAACTAGGTGCTAATGCATCCTTTTGCCTGTTTTGTCAGCGCAAACGTTCTAATTAATGGGAATGGAATAAATAAATTAAGCTGCCACGTCTCCGAGCAGCTGAGCAACTCGAGCAGAGTGCATCTGCACAAAGAGAGAGAGAGAGCGAGAGACCTAAAGAGAGAGAGAGGGGGAGAGGGAAGAAAAATAAAGAGAGACAAACAAGAGGTTGTTAACCTCTCCCATTATAGCAGCCATGACCTAGTAGGACAGACTTTGATGACAGATTTTTGTGTGTGAGGGGAAAGAAATGACCCTATTTGGCTCTGCCTGATGTTGTCGATTACCCAGTGTATGTGATTTTCTTTAGAATTTAAAGAATTTGTGAATTTATTCTTTATAAATTTAAAAATTAATAATACATATGTTGATATGTACTGAAACTCATAACCGGAAAGATGCCCAACACGTGAAAACAATTTACCTAATATAAAATTATTCTTTGCACTTTGGCAGTGTTGTTTGTGAAACACTGTGGCTACAGACAGCGCTAGTGTTCTAGCAGGGACCTTTCTTTCTGCTGCTGTTGTTTTGCTGTATTGTATATATTAAATGGCATATTGTGTTTTTAACTAGGGTCGGACCTATAATGGAGAAGCTTATGGGTGTTGTACCCCCTCTAGCAGAAACAGAGTATTATAAACCGCTTGTCTACGGTCCCTCATAGAAACTGTGAAGTAGTTCCACGCAGCTGCCTGCTGCTGCTCAAACTGTTCAAAAAAGTCATCTTTGCTGACCAGCTTAGGAGAGTGAACCAACAGCTTATTTAATCACTAGCTCTTTTTTAATTATCAATTTATTATTTTTTTAACCTTTTTTCCTTTCCTTCATTTTTGACCATTTTTGGTTAAACATTTTGTGTCCAAAAATTTTGTGCGTTCCTAATCTTGATTACTACTGTAATGGGAACTGCACTCTGAACAGCTTTATTTGCTCAGAAAAGCACTAATATTAATAAATACAAATAACTTCAGTATAATAAGCAGTGTTTTTGTGTATGTCAGTCTGTTCATTTAACCGTCTATAAAGCTCTCCTTCTAGCAGCCCATTATTATTTAGAGTTACAATCAGTGGTACTCAGTGGTTTGGCTACTTAATATTTCTTTATGTTAAATAAAGTGTGCTGGTGCTAGAATTTCACACATGCATGGTTATCTATCTAGGAGAAATCTGGAACCAAAAGTTGGTTATCAACTCACAAATTATGAACTACATTTTTGAAAAATAAAATCTTGTTAGCTTTTGTTGTATTTATGTCCATTTGCATTTATTCTAATGATATATGATAAAACGTTTATTGCCAAGTTTAACAGTTTTAACAATGTGCTTAGCCGCCTAAAGACTTTTGCACAGTTACACGATAGATAGATATAGATATAGATAGATAGATAGATAGACAGAGAGAGTTAGTTAACAGAATGAAGGAGCTGTGGCTTCTACTACTGCACACTGTGAGGCTTTAAGTAAACTGGGCCCAGAGCAAACCTATTGTGATCTAAACATTTCTGTATTTACATATCTCCTCCTTTTGTCTCTCTGTGTATCTCTTACACACATACACACACACACACACACAGACACATACACACACACACACACACACACACACACACACACACACGTACACTCTTGTGGAGCCTCGAGGGTGTGTGGGGTGGCCGGTCTCCAGTGGTGGAACATCTGTGTGGCTGCTTGCTGCTGTGTGTGTGCCGGGTCTCTGAAGCTCCTCTCTGCCAGCAGGCCTGAGCTCCACTCTCTCCCTCCACACCACCCGGCACCACCCGCTGGCCATGCTGCGCAGTCTCACACCTACACACACACACACACACACACACACACACACACACACACACACACACACACACACACAAACACCCTGCTCTCTGTTAATCTGGCTCGGCCTCTCTCTTTCTCTCTCACACACTCACACTCACACAAGCCAAGGCAAGGTTGTTTGGTCGGCCGGGGCAGGTGCAGTGATTAGAGTAGATTTATTGCGGATGCTTGCTCTCTTTTTTGTCTAATTTTATGCAGTAGCTTTAATTACAGTGAGTTTCCCTCCATCAAGCTTACTGAGACTCAAACTCACTCTCTCTCTTCCTCTCTCTCTTGCTCTCTCTCTCTCACGCACTCTGTTTCTTATTTGCTCGCAATCTCTCCATTTACAAAGCATTCTATTGCCCTGACAGATGAATAATGCTATTAGAGTTCTCTCTCTCTCTCTTTTTCTCTCTCTCTCTCTCTCTCTCTCTCCCTCTTTCTCTCTCTCTCTCTCTCCTCCTGTTGTCTCTCGCAGACATCATTTGGGACTGTAACACTCTCATTACAACTGCGTGGCTGTCAACACGTACATACACTCCTGTAATTTCACACTCATCCAACACTTTACTGTATACTTTCAAAGGCTTCTTTGCTGCCATGTTCACATATAGACACGAACTAAAGCTAATTTAGCCATAATGCATTTAATTGGTCAGTAATGTATTATGGTAACTCGTGTATGTTATCAAGCACAGTACAAACTGCTGATACTGGTTTAGGTATTAGTGTTTTGGATTGTGCTCAAAAGCGCCCACATTATGGAAAAACAAAATTTTTTCACGTTTTTTGAAATAAAAGAGTTAATGAAGTCCGTTTAGTCCATATATGGAAACTAAATTACAAAAATAGCCTATTTTTAATACATGATTTTCATTATGTCATGAAAGCCAACACATGAACATACATCCACATATTCTACTACAGTTTTGCTCCACCCACTCACATTGAGGTATGGAGTGTTTCAGCTCTTCTTCGACTGCTTTTTAAGTGAGGCAAGACACAGGCCAGCCACTCAAAGCAGAGCTCATTTACATAATTAGGTTTTGAAGGCACAGTAACAACAAAAGCTTGTTTAATTCTGAAGAATAAAGAAAGGCTGGGAAATGGTCATATAAGAATGAATTATTATGTTTTTGGTATATAAACCTAAAAAAATAAATATGGACCCTTTAATGTTAATGGTAGGTGGTTAACAATTCATTCACAATATTTAGTTTTTTATAAAGATGTGATTAGTTAGAACAGACAAAAATGCATCAGTATTGCCATGTTTAAAAATGCTCTCAAAACCTGTCTGTACAATGCCTTTTATTCAACATTTCATATTTTCCACTCCACTAAATCCAGTAAAAAAAGACTAGTTTGGCTGTCTTTGTAGTAAAACGTGCAGTTGGTCATTTTTTAAGTACTGACAATATCCACAGTATGCTCAGAAAATCAAACTGTGGCATATTGTTTCATAATATATCACAATGTGATAAAATATTGTCATATTGTGATACATTATGAAACAATGTATCACAATATGATAAAGTATTTCATATTGCTTACGAATACTTAATCATATACAGGAGTTCTTTTCAGTTTTCAGCGGTATTTGTCTGAAAGGCGGATGAATAGTGGTGCACAGTGATAGACCTTGTTCCTCTGAGGGTTTCCCCCGGAGAGAGCAAAGCAACTTAACATGCTCGCTCTTCCTCATAAAAACGGGACTACTTTTTCGTTTCATTTTTTTCACTCTCAATCTGTTTTTCTCTTCAAAGTCCCGAAATCCCCAGTGATTCAGATGACTGGAGCTATGAGAAAGCGCCGAGGCTCATCTATGTGTTTGTGTGTGTGTGTGCGTGTTTGTGCACATGTGTGCCACAGCGCAAGACTAGGCCACAACAAACGGCATCTGCAAAGTAGCATATGTGAGCCAAACCGCTACAGGACCTCCCCCTCTCCACACACACAACACACATCACACACATACGCAAATACACTCACACACAGCCCACTGCACCTGAACCCCATTTCACACCTGATGCTGGGGGTCTGATTACTCCCCCCCCACCCACACACACACAGATGGGCTCCAGCACTCTCTGGGGTCCAGGGTGGGCCCTACACCAGGGGTTCGCCTGACCGTCACTGACTGCTCAGAGTGAAGCAGCACTGGGCTGAGACAGTGGGTGCCACTGGGCTTGACTTGTTCTCCTCACTGGTTCCAGATTGAGTACTGCTCAACCTGTCCATCTGCTGCCACTTAATGTGTGTGAGTTTTGCGAAAGTTCAAACAAACACTGTAAATGCCTTGTAACAATAAAGCAAGGGTAAGCAAAAGACAAATTACACACAGACAACTCTTCGTTTAGGTCCTCCGCGGCATACTTGCCTTAAAAGACTTCTTCTAACATGTTGTTTAATTATACCCACTAGTAGCTCATTGAAAAAAGGGAAAGAATTATTTATGTGGATTCTAAATTTCAGATCAGATTTGATTCGAAAACAATTATCTGAAATCTGAAATGCAAGTGCTCGTTTTAAAGGCATTATAAAATACTCTATATATGCACACGTTAACTAAATTCAGTATTAGTGCACTGAGGTGCTAAAGTGCTCCTTATATAGACTGGAGAACACAGTAGTAAGTGGCCCAAAACATATTAAGCATACACTACGTAAGAACCCAAGGGGCTGACACTATATGTTCAAGTTTAAATGGCCAAAAACTAAAAAGTTAATGAAATTACTTAAATATATAATTATGGGGTACTAAATGTTCTAAAGGTTCCCATTTCTAGCAAAGTAAAAAAATATATATACATATACCTTTGTTGTGCTATCATTGTGCTGTCATCATTCTGAAAACAGGTACCAAACACCGCTGGTTTTAGCTGCATGCTTCATTTTTAGCAGGTCAGCCTAGCAGAACCAGTTGCCTGTTTAGCCCTCATGCTTAGATTTAAAAATGTTCAGTTTTTGGAAATGAACTAAAATGAGATAAATGTGTTTTTAACTAATAGCATTGATCACACATTTGTTTATTTGTCAGTTACTGATTAACTGGTTCATCATTTACATCCCTAATTGTGATTTTAATTTGAAAATTTGTTGTGTGTATAGTTTTGTTTTGTGAAATGAAAAAACATCCATTACATTTTTGCCTTTTTTATAATATTTTGAGTCAAAAATACAGACTGGAATCTGTTAATACAGAATGTAAATGTAATCTGTTATATAACTACATAATTATTAAGTACACATTAAGTAAGTATATAATGTAAACTGAACGTGTAGTAAAATTATAATATTATTTCTACATCTCTAAGGCAATATGGCCCGAATCATTCTTCACTTTTCAAGGTTTCCTGAAGAGCTGTGTCTTCCATCATTAGACTAAATCAGTCACAACAGCAGGGCTTGCTTATAGCTTCAGTGCACTGTGTAGCGTACTCCAGAAATGGGCATATGTATGCACTGTATACAGGACCTGAGGAGGCTCACTCTTCCAGTGGCGTCTGTTCAGTGTTAGACTGTTCAACTGAGTTAACCTGAGCGCAGAGCGAGAGTTCCTGCTGTCGTTCAGTCCTGCTGAAGATTTAGGCCGTAATCCGAGCGGCTGTGTTTATATCTATAGAGCAGAGGAGGTGAACATAAAATAGAGGCGCGTGGGGGGGAATAAAGCATGGAGGTGCTTTCTCTGTCTTTCTCTTTTTCTCTCTCTATCACACTGAGCCGTTCTGTTTTGTGGTTAGATTTTTATCTGTGGTTTTGGCTCTGAAAAGACTTAAGAACCAACCCCACCGCCACCTACTCCGGCCCCTGTACTTTTATTATACTTTCATTATTTGCAGAACTTGAATTTATTATTCCTTAGGTCCCACATTTGACTGTCATTTGTGTGGGTGTTGATTTGCAGAGAACATCTGAAAATGTGCTTTTTAAGATACTTGCGAGGTTCCCCAAGGCTGTATATTAGGCACAGGAAGATTTCCATCCTGCTGCACAACCAGATGCAATTTTGAACGTGGCCATGTGCATTTCTTACAGCAAGAATGTCACGTTGTTTAGGTGGTATATATATATAGCTGCTGTCAGAGTTAACAAATCAATTTACACTGATTATGTAAAGCGCTCAACACTTTAAAAAAATTCCTAACATATTTTCGTATGAATCCAGTTTTCGCATCATGCATGGAAAATTTAATGTTAGTGAGACTGTAGTGTAGTGCCAAATGGTGAAAGGAGGAAGCGAATAGAAAATGAATCGCCCAATAGGTTGCTGTAGATCCCTACGGGCATACCTGTCTAAAAGGTTAGGCTATGATGACACTATTTGCATAAAGTGCATGATGATATTCAGCTGTCACTGAATGATTTGGCCATTTCCAATTACACTGAAATGTAGCCAAGCATGTCAGTCCCAACTTGCAGTTTCAGCAAGATGGAGCTTCTAGCTAAATAAACAACACTGTACTTTATAGTCAGGATAAAGAAATATTACTCCAGTTTAATACTTTCTTAACCTTTGACTTTCTTAATATATATTTTTGTATTAGGCTTTTTGCGACACATGTTGTCTCAAAGCAGACCAGACGAGAGGGTGACAAAATCTCCTTAAGAACATGAGCGGAACCAACAGTCAGATGAGGCCTCTGTCCTCCTCTGGTCCACACTGGTGTTACGATACCATAATAAGTAGCACCACGTTGTAGATATGAGATTAAACAGAGGTGCTCAGATCAAACAGAGGAGAGACTGGTGAGATAAGCCAGTGACTAACGTTAAAAGTCAGACAAAGATCTGGTGGACTGCTGATTGTGTCAGACATATATAAGAGAACATAGTAGGGAAGTGAGTGTAAGGTAAGGTAAATTCCAGCAGCACCTAGTTTTGTGTAAGATGTTTCTTTTCCAAGACAACTTTGAATCTATCTATCTTTTTTTATCTTTCTGTCTTTCTTCCTTTTTAAGTCCTGTTAAAGCATTACATCTCAGACCATATATCACATTTTTGGCACCCCACAACCCAAATTAGAACTTTTTACACTTATCTTTAAATTTGATCAAATTCTCACATGCACTTAAGCATCATTAACTACAGCAAATCATGATTAGCTTTTTTTCCAACTATTTGGCACCACAGACTATTAAAAGACATGTCTGTTAGGAAAAAAAATTTCCACTGCATTATAAGCAGTGTGAGTCCGTTCTGTTACAGAAATCTGTTGCCAATGTAAGCTAACACGTTACTATTCTTTACCCTCAGGATTCACAGAGGAATATATGATAGCTGTTCTGAGTCGCTCCACTGAGCCTCAGAAGTCATTCTTAGAACAAGTGACATCATTATTTTGCCTTCACTTCACTGTTGTGGTAGGACAGGTTTCATATTTTATGGCGGTAACCTTTACTGTTAGTGCTAGCACCTGTGCCAAACACAATAAAGAACAAGGCCCTCAATGCTTTCATGGGCAAGTTTAAGATATGTTGAGCCTCTAATTTCCTCTTTATTTGCAAGTAGGCAAATCTGACAGAAAAGGTAACTGGAACAAAACCTGCAATCAGCTCTCTCTCGCATCTGTATCCTTTCAGCTTTATTTTGTAGTGTTTGATAGCCTGATGCAAGACTTATTGCACACTTTTCCCCCCCATGTTGAGTCACTGTAGATGTTTCCCAACTTTAGATCATTTCCCTCCTCTCTCTCTCTCTCTCTCTCTCTCTCTCTCTCTCTTTCTCTCTCTCTCTCTCTCTCTCTCTCTCTCTCTCTCTATCCTGTCTCAGAGGAGCTGTCCTGGCTGGACCTCCAGTTGAATTTCTTCCTAACACAGAGGGTCTTTTGTGGTTGCATTCTTTCACAAGGTGTTTGTGAAAAAGAGCAGGATTGCTCTCGTCCTTTCCTTCTTTGAGGCTATACAGCATTCTCTCTCCCTCTCTCTTTTTCTGTCTCTCTCTTTCTCTCTTTCTCTGCTCTGCTTAGTAAACACTCATGTCCTGCACTCACAGTTTATCACAGAGGGACAAAGCCACAGAGCCTTGTTCTGGACACACACACTAACAGAGGCTCTTGCTAAGGTTCGAGTGCTTAGCTTGGAATTCTTTTTTCTGGCATAATTCGACCGTCCAGTGGCTATTCTGATGCCCTTAAAGTCTGTCTGCTTCTGTTTCTGTACTAGAACCGCAGTGATGTGGATTTATTTTGTCAATGCATCGTTTACTTAAAACTGCTCTATAGTGTTCATATGAGAGTTAGTTCAGGCAAAACTAATTGCAATTTTTATGACCAATATTGGGATTGGGATTATTTTCTATAAATTAAGGTCAAGGCCTGTTTTTCAGCCAACAACACCAGCATATCCACTTGCTGAATGCTGAATGTTGTATGCAGGACTGCCAGTTAATGGTTGTTTTGCCATGTATGCAGCATGTGAGTATTTAGTTGCTTCTTATTGGTCTGACTCATCTAAGGGCAGTTATTGGGTAAATTTCTCCAGTCAAAACTTTGACAATTTAAGCTCTGATTAGCTGTAATTAAATTGCAGCTCTTGCTGTTTGAGAACTGCACTTTTCCAAATTGTAATTTTGATATGACATTTTCTTTCAGCCCTGCTATACACACTGAGGCAATATGGCTTCTCTCATTTCATTACATTACATAAAGAAAGCTTTCTTGGTATGAACTCAAGAAAGCAAGACCCTCAAAAGTCCTAGCTTGCAAACTATGATATGCAGAAGTGGATGTCATGTTTCACTTTAGCATGATGAGGATGTACAAATGAAACAAAAGCATCCAAATTCCAAAACGTTTTTCTACTCCCCTTGGCAATGGGTAAGACTTTGTAGCTTACTAGCCTACAGGTTGGAAAACAGAATGTTTCATGAAGCAGACAAACATTTCACTTATGCTAAGTGTAGTAAATCTAATGCCGTACAGAGATAACAGTTCAGTAATGAAATGAAAAGGCTCCAATGCCGTCCAGCCATCCTAAAGTGGATAAAAATAGTGCATAGAATGATGTTAAATCTGTTTTAGGATAATGTGTGTGCGTGATAATTTTGTTCATGTCAATTATGAGCATAGTAATGTTTAATGCAATTTACGTTTAGTCATTGATGTATCACATCTGCCAGAATTGAGAAAACAGCAAAGGTAATCAGGTGATACCCAGTAAATTATATAGTACTAAAAAGAAATAATAATAAATTATTAACATTTTCATTTTTTGTATTGGATCAGACATGTGATTAATCAGCAGTTAGAAATATCTTTTATCTTCTATCTTCTAAGCCGCTCATCCTTCTGGGTCGTGGGGGGGAGCTGGAGTCTATCCCAGCAGTCATTGGGTGGAAGGCAGGATACACCCTGGACAGGTCACCAGTCCATCGCAGGGCAGACAGACAGACTGTATGTGTGTGTGTGAATGTATGTGTCTGTCTGTCTACCCTGCAGTTAGATATACACACACACACATCATCTAAACCGCTTATCCTTCTGGGTCATGGTGGGGTGCCAGAGCCTATCCCAGCTGTCATGGGGCGGAAGGCAGGATACACCCTGGACAGGTCACCAGTCCATCGCAGGGCGCAGTTAGAAATAGTTAAGACATAAATTTAACATAACATAAAGCAGTTTTCTTTCAATATTTTGGATGATGAATTTTCAAAATCGGGTTTTTATGCTCTTAAATTTTAAATTATTTTTTTTTACTGAAACAGGAAAATAATTGTTAGATTTGCCAGTTTATGGGGAAGTAGTCAAAAGATAATAAGCGATGCTAAAGTAGTTGTTAGTTGCAGCCTCTCTCTTTCTCTCACACATACTTTTAGAGGCCAGCTGTAGTGAACACGTCTGTGGCGTCTGTGACATTTCAGAAGAGGACATCTGTTCGAGGCCCGGCCTGTGTCCTCTGTTGGCTGCTCACATGCAAACACACTCATAAACACTTCTCAACATGGTTTTTGTTCTTCTTCCTCAAAAACACACTAGGGAAAGAATAGAGCACATGCTTATAAAGTTGTTTAACACCTTCAGCACTTGTGTATATTCACCTTAAGGCTGCACAGTATTGAAAAGGAGTGTTGTAATTAGACCTGTTATTTTGACTGACAATTAATGACCTTATAAATAATTGGAGTAACAGTTTGTCTTTTTTTGAGCATAGTATGCAACTTTTAAAAAACTAGTGTAAAGTGTCTGAATTGGCTGATTATGTATCTGTCTGGCTTACTAGGTGTCAGTACTTAGTCGCACGCACCTGATGACAGAAACAACTCAAGCTTAAATAAACAAACATTACTCACTCCCTAAAGGTATTACAGCACCAGTCAGAAGTTAGAACTTTTGTTGTTTCCTCGTGATGTGTTTTCTACTTTATTTCATTAATATAAATTGGCCTCAACCCACTTGATTAAAACACCCCATTTCACATTCTGTTGTTGTAAAAATATGATTCTGAAAGCTAACAACTAGAGATGAAACGGTTACCGGTTTCACGGTAAACCGTGGTAAAATTAATGACAGTTAGTAACTTTACAGTATCGTTAAAACCGCGGTCGATTACCGCGGTGTGAAAAACTCGGAGATTCGGAGATATTTCAGCCTTCTAAGAAGACCAAGTCTGACGTTTGGTCATATTTTGGGTTTTATAAGAATGCAGAAGGAAAGTTAATTGAAGATGACCACCCTGTCTGCAGATGACCACCATGTCTGCAGAACAGGCCGAAAGAAAATAGCGGCGAAAGGGGGCAACACATCAAACCTTACGAGTCATCTTCGTGACCACCACCCGCTACCTGCAAGAATCCAAGGTTAACTTTAACGGAGAAGTCTGTGGGGACTTCGAAATAGAAGAAATGTCACGGTTTGTGTGGTTTAACTTTTGCTTATGGTTCGTTAATAATGTTAAATGAAGCTTTTAGCGTCAAAAAAAAGAAAAAAAATAAAACAAAAAACAATCGGTGAATCAGCTGTGAATCGAAACTAAAGCTTGTAACACACATTTCTGTGGAGCAGAGTCTTCAAAATGAGCTCTGAGTTAACAGTCACACAAGCTCCGGAACGAGACGCTGCAAAAGTTCAATCTGCACAGCTCCCCTTTCTCGTCTCGCGTGCAGTGTTTACTGTCTGAGAGGAGAATAACACCGTCTCAAATCACTCAGTGTCCCCTACATAGTGCGCTACTTTTCAAACAAACACGATCATCATTAACAAGCAGTTGAGTTTTGAATAGGGAATTTGTAGCCTGTTGTTAATGTTGATTATAGATGACTTAGTCGAACGTTTCACGCACTCTTTGGGTGAAGGATTTGCTATTTCATGATCCACGAAGTGCACTACATAGGAAAGATAGTGTGCTTTGAGACGGGACCTCGCGAGTAAACGCTGTGTGCTGCTTTTAGGAAAAGCAGAGTTTCAGAGATTAAACTTTAGGAGTGTTTCTGCCGCAGCTCAGATGCATGTTAATTTTAAGTTATGTTTTAGTTTTAAAATGCTTTTAGAGAAGTAGCTCCACAGGTGAAGACACGCTGTGTGAGTTCTACACTGTCTGCAGCTCACAGCGCGGTCACGCAATTCCTCTGTGATTTTGGCTGTTTTTCCTGGTGCACTGTATTGATTAGGGGTACAGCGCCACAACGGCACAATAATGCTGCAAATGCAGTTCAGACAGAAATCCCTCGAGTGCAGCACTTCTTAGAAGTAGTAATTTTCCATTAAGACCCACCTCAGAGTTGGTCTAGATTTAATTCTCTATGCAGGGAAATCCCTAGTTATTGTAATTATTACTACTACTACTACTAATAATAATAATAATAATAATAATTACAACAGTAATAATAATAATAAGAAGAATAAGAATAGTAATAATAATAATAACAGTAATAATAATACATTTGCTATTCTTTTGTTTACAGAGTATTACAAGTATTGTAAGTAATACAAAAGTAATACTAAAATTGTATTGACCTTATTTTTTAATGTTTATGCAAACAAAAAGTGCATATTGCTGCCAATTCTATTTGTGTTAATATAAAAGTTGGTGAAACGAGTTTGTTTGTGTATCAGTATTTATTTTTTTATTTATTTTACTTTTCAACACATTTGAACAATATCGCGATAATACCGATAATCGTGATAATTTTGGTCATGATAATGGTGATATGAAATTTTAATATCGTTTCATCTCTACTAACAACTGTGAAAAATATTTGCTCTCAGCTCAAATAATTGGGATTATGTGATGATTAAAAAATCATAACAGGCCAAATTGCCAATTGCAACATGGCTAACAATACAATAAATACGCACTAGTGAACGTGACATGGTTAGAGACTGGCCTACTGTACTTTGTGTATCTACATTTCTTAGGTAATCACATACATATATTTATTCTGGTGCAGCTGACACAATAAGTGTGTATTTGTGCTTTTTAGTCTACTCTTCTACTTTAATATTTTGATTTCTCAATGCTGTTGTGGCATTTTTTAGATATGTAAAGAGCATGAACACCAAAAGCTCATAGATTTGTACTTGGTTTGTGTTACATACTACCTTTTCCATCTTTTCTCATTATGAATGGGAATACAAGTCTTACATCAGTTACGCTTTATTGTTGCTTCATCATTCACTCAGAAAAAAATCACAGTATGTCCAATGATAAGAAAAGCCATGTGCATCTTTTATACAGTGATAGAAAACAACTGATCTAAACAATATAGAAAGCCATCAAAGTTGCAATAAAATTCATTGTGTAAAGTGGACATGTGACTGCTGTAGATGTAGTAATCTATTATTTTATGTTTAAGTTATTAATTTTATGTTGTTATTAATTACTTCTCTCAAAATCTAGTTACTTACTACATTACTTACTACTTCCTGAAAAAGTAATCTCATTACTCATTACTGTACTTCTACGTTACTTTGTATCTGCTTTTACAAACTGTGTACGGGAAAACCTGGTAGTTATTTTCAATAATATATTGCATATTCAGGCACAAATCATTCATACCAAGATAATTTATGATTTATGACAGCCCAAACCGATAATTGGCGCCGATATTCAGCTTTTTTGAGATCTATTGCAATCAGGATTTGTACTTGCTTCCTTGCTGATAAAAGCGCTTTTTGTTGTGTATTTGCAACCTTGGTCAATAAAACACGCTTGTGTAGTCTGGCCCAGTGTCGCGCCTAAAGCATTACTGCTTTAAATATGGACCACGTGTCAAGTAAATCCAATCAAACTTGCTTTTCAGTTTTGTGAGAGACATGGGAGGGAAATGAGGGAATGCTGTCTTTGCTTCCACAGCGAGAAGAAAGGTACATGTCGAGGTTTAGCAACGGAGCTGGCGAAAAGTACAATGAACTCAGTCATGTAATTTTGCTCGCTCTAGCCAAACAAACGTGACTCGTGCATGCAGGTCGAGCCCTGCCCGAAACATCACATTTACTTGGTGTAAGTGAGGTGCATTGTGATGTGATGTGCAAATGTGATGTGATTACCAAGACAAGCTCCCAACTGCTTCAGTAACAGTTTGAGTGTGTGTGTGTCTAACTATGTAGACAAACCTCCAGAAAGCGGGAAATTATTTGTAAAATCAGAATATCATTTTATATTTAATGAGCAAGTTATAAACAATTTCTGGCCTTTTTCATTTCTATTTTTCCTTGTTAAAAGTACGAACAGCTCCAGCTCACTACTTCCACTGCTATGCTTAGGTTCAATGAATTACTTTTTCAAGAGTCAGTCAAAATACATCTGATACATTCAGCATGTCCAGCTACTGCTTGTTATCGCATGAAATACATTTTTGGTTTAACAACAAAATGAAGTATGTTCATGTACCCTCATTATTGATGCTTTTTACCAAGTAGTGACAGTTTTTACTGCATGATTACTTGAATTCTTACTGTAATATTTTACTGGCGTTACATTTACAGTTCTATCTATTCAGTTAGTGTAGTTTTTAGCCTGTATCAAGGCTTTCATGCTTGCACCCATGTACTGAATGGCAAGCTCTGCTCCTGATATGTGCCCTTTCATCTGAACTTTTTCTAATATAAAATGTGAAAAAATAATATATTTGTGTATGTATAATTTAACGTTTTCAGGCTCTATTTTGAGCTCAGTGTTTCTTATAAACATCATTGACTATTACGCATCATTGAAAGCTATTTAAGTTACTTTTTAAAGTTACTATTTAAAGATTACTTTAAAATGTGTAAGTTACTATTTTTGCAACTAATACTTTCTAAAGCTCAAAGCATTTTATTTTTGTAATTTCTAATATTCATATAAAGTAAGTTGTGAATAGAAGTTTCATTCTTGTAAATTTTCATAAACATC